TTTTTGATTGGCTAATCACTTTGTGAATTGGGTGCTTCCCAAACTATTGGTTTATTACTTCAGCTTTATGCAAATATAGTGGATCATAGAGGTCTTACGCTGATACAAAACTGGGACAATATGGGGTGCATGTAGCAGAAGTGATCTACTCGTTTACAAGAACAATATTTAACTTTCTGGTATGAGCAGCCTTCTGCTTTTAGCTAAGGCCATATTCTGCTAACTATTATGGTAATTTTTCAATGTTTGTAGGTACTGTTTGGAATGGCCTTAAAAGGCTTTCTTAATTCAGTTATATTTTAAATACTTTTTCTCCTATTTTTCATATCCTAAGAAGAAATGTTAATTGTGAAGGTGAAACCTTCAAAATATGTTCTTCATTTAAGCCTTATGGTAGTATCAACAAAGTACCATGTAAATTGTTAACTAAATGCAATTTTGAGCTATGTATATAATGTATTATCCCGTGTTTATAGAACTTAGTTGTGCTGTAGTATATTTTGAGGGACTCTGGAGCTATGCCATTGTTAACCTGAAAAATCTTTCTAATATTTGTAAGTAGTCTCTCTTTCTTACCCTTTTGGCTCTGTGCCATTCTGCAGTATGCTGACATGAAGTAGCAGGCTTTCAACTAAGCACAAAACATCCTTTGCTATATTCTGCACTTTGCAATACCTGACCTGTGCACCGGTGTCTCTCATGTTATAAATGCAGAGAACAGGCAGATGCTGCCCTGCAGGAGAATGCCCAGAAAACTTGAAATGTAGATGGAAGGCATGGTGAAATATGCCTGCATGTGCAGACAGCCCCTTTCCCCTTGCATAGTTTGTGTTAAGATGAAAATATTGCTGCATGTTCTTTATGCACTCAGACTAACCCCAGCAGTAATTATTCCCTGTTGCTTTTTCATCACTATTATTTCCCATTAACTTCAGAACCTGGGAATGCGCAATGGTGTTGGTTCTGGTAGCATTGTGTAAGACCATTCTGAAGAAATGGCAAGAACACAGGATGGAAAGATCAATACTAGCCTCTTCCTGTGATTCCTTCCATTGCCATGGCAACTGCTGGTGTTAGTGTTGAGGGACAGCCCGCTGCTCACCTCTGCTTGTCCTTACCCATGCTCGGATCAAAACACGTCCAAATGTGATTTGTTGTGTATACACAGCTGCTTCTGTGAGAAGCTTTGAGAGCGTGACTGACTGCTATAGGCCAAAACATCCAGGAAAGATTAAAGTTGAATTCTATTTCTGCCTTTCTTAAAGAGCTTGGTTGGAAGAATTCATAGGAGTGAAGTAATCTAAATAATCTCTACTGTTGTTTGTATTTCTGTTACGATGCTGCCTGTCTGCTCCAGAATGATTGCTTCATTGGAAATTCTGATGGTCTGATTTTCTGCGTTAAGATTTTAAACTTGTTCTATTTCAAATTGTCTCAATCTGTAATTAGGCATGAACTACTCACCTGTATACTGAGAAAAAAAAATCCTAATTCAGTAGTGCTTCAGTTGTCTGAATATCAAAATCTTTGGTTGGACTGCAGCTGTGTATGTGAAACTTTCAATCTTCAGACACACCACCTTGTTGGGGTCCCTCCCTTCCCTGAAAATAACCCCTACAGTATATCTTCAGTATGCCGCAGAACTCTAAAACTTTATTCACATTAGCAGTAAATGCCTAATGAAACATTATTGTCTGTTAATGTATATGGCTTGCAGTGTGAAGGTGACGGGAAATTACGTAACAGTATGTGGGATTTGGTTTGATTTTTAACATGTAATAAATCCAGGACAGATTTCAGACTGATTTTTATGTGGCTGTATTTTCTTTAACATGGTAAGCTTCTATAAGCTGGAAAGCTCTGTAAAAAAATATTAAGAAATGTTTTATTTTGTTTTAATTTTGCTAAATGTTTGTATAAATAGGGAAGAAGAGAGAGGATGAACAGTGGAAAGGGATGAAGTAGCAGGTCAAATTTGAATGAAACGCATTACGGTAGAATCAAGAGAGCAGGAAGGGTCAAGTTTTAATAATTTTCAGGTGTCTGTAAAGTAGGATCTAAGCAACATGTGCAGCACTGGCAGCAATATGGAAATGACCTTTGGAAAGGAAGACTTTTGACGAGGTTTCATCCCAGGCTGTTAGAGAAAGCAAGCTGCTGTGGGATAAGAAGAAGGGTTCAAAGATGGTTTAATAACTGGTTAAGAGATAGGAAGTACAAAGCAGGAATAAATCATTACGTTTCATGGCAAAAAGAAGTTACCTATGAAGTCTGCAAGGATCTGTGCCTAGGCCTGTGCTTCACGGTATGCTCATGACTTTTTTGGAAAATGGGCTGCATAGAAATATGGCAAAGTTTGCAGATACTGTTCAGAGTAGTAAAGATGGCAGAAGAATGATGGAAAGGCCTTACCTCACAGAATGACTGGATGATAAAATGGTAGATGAAATTCAGTGCAGAAAATGTGAAGCAGCAGATATGGGAGAAAACAGTCATTTTATGTAACTGCTGGAGACCACCAATATATGACTATGACTTGGAAGTAATATTTTAAGGTTTTCTTGGATCCTTAAAAGCATCAGCTTAATGGAGGTTAAATTTTTAATTAAAATGTTGTGATTTACTAGAAAACAAATAGAGAAAAAATTAAAGCATTGTCAATCCATTAAATAATATGTATATATAAATCTATGGTGTGTTTGCATCTTGAATATTCTGTATAGTTCTGGTTTCTTCCATCTCAAACTCAGTGCAGTAAAACTGGGAAAGGTTTTAGAGGAGGATGACAGGTATGATGAATAGCATGCAACACCTGTATGAGGATAACTAAATAGATTGAAGGGCAGATGGCTGAGAGGGGATGATAGAAGTCCATAAAATCGCAAGTGGCAGAGAGGATGAATAGGGAGGGATTGTTCACTGTCTCTCCTGATACCAGAACTAGAGGTTATTAAATGGAATATGCAGGTAGTAGCTCAAACTGTACAAAATGAGGTGGTCTCCACAGGTGTGCAGCTGAGCTATGGCATTCCCTCTTTAACAACCCCTTCTGCCCATTAAAAACCCACACACACACCCAAAGAAACAAACAAACAAACAAACAAAAAATCTTACTAATGTTAACGTGTGTGTGACTTAGAAGTAATTGAACCAGTACTTGAGAGATTAATCCATTAAAGGTTGCTAAATACAAAGACAGCATCTCTGGCTTAGAAAATCCTTTTGAACCATGAATTGCTGAACACTAAAAAGAGTACCGGCAGAGAATTCATGTGTGCTTGTCCAGTGTTTACTTACCTTCCTGGACATGTGGTATTTGACAGTGAAGGTAGAAAATAACTTATTCTCTAAAGCGTTGTCGCTAGTGCTGAGGCACTACATGTTACTCCTGCATGTTTCTCTCTCACAACTGTTTGCTTTGGTGGTTAGTTTTGTTTTCTGAAATACCCTAAAACACATCTCAGATGAATTTCATACAGAATCCAGGTATTATTTTGGAAACTACCTTGTTGCAAAACAGTCCTTGGCAGTAAAACCATTGAGGTAGACTGAATTCTGTACAGCAAGGAGTCCATCACTGCTTTGGAAATTCAAATCATGGTCTAACTGATCTCGCAGCACTGCATTGTTTCAGTGTCTCATAGAAAATGAATGCTGTTTATACAGTCGCATACCAGCATTGGTAAGTGCTTAATTGTTGTGTTTTCAAACAAACACCTCATAAATTATTTTTCTTTCTTTGCAGACCATGTCCAGGTAAGAAGCTTTTAATAGTTTTAGGTTTTGAAAAGGTGAATTATGGTATTTCTTAAAAATGTCAGATTATCAATGTTGCCATCTAAATACTTGGTTTATTCTAGATGTGGTGCTGAAGATCTTTTCTGTGTCACCAATCTAATATATATGTCCGATATGGAATTACGAAAATGAGATATGGTATTTTTATTGCACAGAAAATTAATTATTGAAGGAGAAAGGAATTGATGATATTTTAAAAAGGTTTTGAGCATGTTCCAAATGACGCTGACCAAAGTCAGTACAAGTTTTGGCCATTTAATGAGAAGCTTGAAATAACAACATTTCTCTTGAACTAAAAATGGTGCTAACTTCAAATTTAAAAACAAACAAACACCAAAAAAAAAAAAAGAACACCACCAAACACCAAAAAGCAAAACCCCTCAGTACTGACCTAGACTTTGCCTTTGGTGTCTGCACTAAAATTAGCCTGACCTTTACTGAAGCCCATGAAGTTAATGAACTGCTTGTCAACATTAGAATTAATGAAGAACATGCAGTGGATGGCATGGATAGATGACGCTTGCTCTAGATCAGTTCTCCTTAACTCATATCTTTTCATTTCTCAAAGGTGAGTGGAAATAAGAAACTGGATTTGGATTATGCTCAATACTAAAATTAGTTGTAAACAGTGCTTTGTAAATAATTAAGCTGCCTATTATATTTTCCAACTAATAACAGAATGTTTGTCTCTTCATTCGGAATTCACAGCCTGGAACTTGTTGTGATATTTGAGACTAAAATTCTCCAGCTTGATTAAGATGGCCTTCAACAATATTGTCTGGCATGGTAACACACCATGAGGTAGATGTGCCTCTGACATAACTGAAGCAATGAAAGTGAGGTTATGATAGCTGTTAAAATCACTATTTGGGTACTAGTTCATAATGCTATAGAGCTGCTGTTTGGCTTTGCAGAGTGTGTTGAGGGGTTTTGGTTTTGTTTCATTTTTTTGGTGGGGATTTATTTGTGGATCTGGGGTTTTTTGTGGTTTTGGTGTTTTGTTTTGTTTTTTTCTAGTTTCTAGCTTCTGTTATGAAGAAGCTTAAAACTTTGTTGTGGAGCCTGTGGTATGAATGCCATTCTAAGGCTGCAGAAAGCCTATTATTTCTGGAAT